GTGGTGTCCCAGTGGACCACATAATTAACATCGTTGTCGATAGGCATTGACTTCGTGGAATAAATTCGCTAAAGGGATTTTGTCTGACTTGGATCACATCCACTTTACCCTAAGCTTTTACCTTGCATCTCCTCAGGTAGAACAAGAAGTAACTTCAGAAAACTGTATGCTCGCACGTCTAAGTATAAAAATTCTATGATACCCTACTTGGCACGTATTTTATGTGTTGAAAATAGTGTCAGGAAAGAATTAACTAACCTTTTTTCATCTAGTAAATAAACAATTTCCTCCATCCATCCTTAAACACCTTCGAGTTTTACTTTTATTGTTTCTATTATATTTATGGTCCTGTTGCTTCCTCGTTTGTTTTACTCTCATAATTGCAAATACCAACTTATCTCTATGACTGCTGTAATCTTTGTTTTTCCTCTCACCATATCATGTAAAGAGAGAACATTATATTCAATATTTTTAAACATCCTAGGATTTCTATATCGCATCGACAATACTGTGTGAAACAAGCCCACCGCAGTTTTTCATTTGTATTATTATTATTATTAACACATTAGCTGTTATCAATATTATTATTAGTATTTCCATTTTATATGCTGCATGTTTTTGACATTACCCCTATTGTAAATGTGGAAGATTTTCTGTGTGATATATTTTATTTATAATTTGAGGAAATTAGATGCAATATTGTGATAAATAACAAGTACTGTTTTTGGAATAAAATAAATCACTATTATTAGTAGTATTACTATGAAAACTGAAATTAGTGCTAATAAACTTGAGCTATGAATACCCATAACAGCTACCAAACTAATTAGGACAATAACATCTCAATAAATAGGATGAATATACCACCACCAGTATGATTCCATGAAAATTTAAAATAAACGTTCACATTTTGAACTTCCTACCTTATTTGATCCATCAGATTGTGCAGATATTAGTATCAAGCGAGTATCAAGTATCCTGATACAACAATTCAGAGCTTCAGTTAAATACTTCCCTGCTTATACATGTGTGTTCCAAGTCGCAATGCTTTCTGCCAGAGATACCCATCGTTTGCAGACATTGGTTAGGCGGGGAAAGCTTGGGTCAACAGAAAAAGGCATTAAATTACCTGAAAAATTCATAAAATAAAGTAATAGAATTCTGCTAACACAAGAAATGATAGATGCTTCATAGCTGAAAGTCCTATGGAAAATTAAACACTTCAACCCCACATTATCGTAAAACCAATACATCTAAGAAATAGATTCGTATAGCCACTCCTTTTCCTGAGTGTTAAACGAACTGATGAGATGACATTGCGAATTATTATTCCCCTTTCCGAGTGAAATGTAGTCACATGATATCTGCTTTCCGTTGGAAGCCTGGTATATTTTAATGTGCGTATACTGATCGCCGATAAGGGAAGCCTGGACAATCATGCAGCGACACGAGAACTGCATCCAAATGGCCTATCCTGTTAAAATTGCATACACCATTTAGGGGTAGACAATTAAACTTGTCGTTTTACTTCTTTACATTCTATCCCGTCTTGCTCCCATGAAAACTTTAACTAAAATTATTATTATCACTATCACCGATATATATATTTTTCAAAATATTCTTCAAATTTCATCAGCTGACTGTTGTTACGTTTTCATATTTCTTTTTGTCGGTCAGTCTGAATAACTTCGCTAATTATATCTATTATAATTATTATCATGATCTCCTTTCTTTTGACGACGATACCGAAGGATTAATTGGTGATAGGATCAACTCCATTCACAGTAGTAGCAAACAGTCTCAACACACCTCATACACCAAACCACATATAATTAGTCCCAGCACTACTCCTTTTAGAGTCAACCAAAACTACGACAGTCGAGTGGCGGGACGAGCTACGCAGAAGTTTATCGAAGATCAGGCACATATACCTCACAATCAAGAGGCGAGCACAAAGAAAGCAAATTGGTTTATACTAGCTCGGAAAAACGATATTGGATATTGGATACCTACCTTGAAGGCATTTGCGCGGTGGAGTTGATTCGAATGGGTGTAAGGGTCTGCAGTGGTTCGTAAACGACAGGAGGCGTCAGTTCGGTGGTTGCTGAACTGTTATCGCCCAGCTTTTTGTAAGTTTATATATATTTGACTTCTGCTGCTACTAATTCGGTTGATAATCATACAGTGTTTCACCTCGAGTCGTGTTCTGCTCTCCTCGCCTTACCCAGCGTGCTTGATATTTATTATTGTTTGTGTTACTATTCTATTACTATAGAACATGGCGAGCCTGCGAAACTCGTGTAAACCAAAGCGAGAAGTCAAGAACTTGGAATCTCCTAATACTGCTAACACCCGTCATCAGGAAGATAGTACCAGAGCGCCACCGGAGATGTCATCAACCCCACCAACAACATCGACTTCCACGCCTGCTCCAGATATGATTCAAACAATGGTCGCAGCATTCCGAATAGCGTTAGTGACTGCTAAACTTGTACGCCCTCCAGTACCAAACCAAAAGTTAAATTCCCTGCACCGGGAAAGTTTGTTCCGGGGGAATCGTTCAATTTGTAGGAAGAACAATGTCGCCGCTACATACAGTAGTTTGACGAAGAACAAAGAGCTAAACTATAACACAGCTCGCATAATGGGTATCCGGAAGACACGCACTACCGCATACCACCCACAGGAAAATGGTTTGGTTGAACGCATGAATCGGACACTTAAATCTCTCTTGCAGGCATTTGTAGACCAAAATAACCTCAGGGAATGGGACCGATCACTCTCGCAGTGCTTGATGGCGTACTGAGCGACCATTCACAAAGTTACGCGTCAAACGCCTCATTATTTGGTCACTGGAAGAGAACTCCGGTTGCCAATCGATCTGACTTCAAACACACTAGGAGAGGACACACAGATTGCATCCGAACAGGCAATCAGACTTAGACGAAACCTGAACAAGGCACACCAGATGACTAGGGATATACTCCAAACAAACCAGAGGTACCAGAAAGAATACCATGATAGGAAAGCACATGGATCACCTGTGGAGCCAGGAGACAAGGTGATGCTACTCAAGGAAGCGTCACCTGAAGAGAAGGCTCTTAAATTCCATAAACGCTGGGAAGGACCATTTACTGTACTTAGCGACTGCACCCGTAGGATTCGGGAACCCAATTCCTCTCATAGTCTAGTCACACACTTCAACAGACTAAAACCTTTTCGGTAGCAGGCCATAGTACAGCTAAGTCCTAGCACTGCGGGTAGTGCTACTATGGGAGAGGGAGTAGTGCAAGGCATGCTAAGTTCGGCGGTTTTCTAACGTTCAAACTATGCTTGTCTACTTTCAGGTCGGCTACGAATTGTGCAGGGATTGGTTACCCAAGACGAGGCAACGGATGACCAATAGGAGTGCCCCTTCCCTCTCATCTAATTGTATTGTGACTGGTTGTAAATATAATCCTTGACTTTGAGTCTTCGTTCTTACTAGCACGCGGCACTTGTGTGATCACAATGCTCTCTGTTTTAGATCAATGCTTGACGAGTGAGATCACATTGGGGCTAGTCGTCCAGGCTAGCTCAGTTGACGTGATTTTGGTGCTTAGTCTGCTCTTGTTGGATGAATTTATATGGAAATTGTTGTTCGATATTGTTCTTGAGCATTTACGTATTGCTTGTGCTACAGGACGCATAAATATATGGTCCATGCAATAATTATTTGGCATACCGAGTGTGCTTCGTGTACATTTATTTCGTCGACTGTCTTCGACAGATTTCTTTGCAGCTTGGCGACGACCTGTACTCGGTCGTAAATCCTCCGCGATCAGCTGTTGTACAGTACCTATTTCTGTTGCAAGAACCGAAGAATATGGTTGACATCGAATTCGTGATTGCTTCTGCACTTCTGTGTGGCGTTTTGATTGCTAGAAGTCAATGGAAACCATAGATACGAGCGAAGATTAGTGTTCTCAAAAATGGGCAGGAACTGCAATATGCTTTACGATCACCGGCAACATTCTCTGCTTTCTGCCAAAATTTTTAAATGAGATAAGTGCTCACTACAACATTCTAATACTTGTCTGGATTTGAATAACATCGTCGTGATTAGGTACGTGAGGACATCTGAGGTGTTCGTCATTTTGTCATATTATTGAGTTTGATTTCATAAACTTACCACGTTTTGCTATTATCCTGACGTCATGTTATGTGCGTTTGTACAACGTCAATTCGCAGAATTATTTTGGAATCATGTAGAAGTAGTGCCCGATATCTATTAAAAACTATGACCGTAAGGTATAGAAGCAGGTGCTATTTCCAATGTGGTAAGATTATGAAATCAAACTCAATAATATGACAAAATGACGAACACCTCAGATGTCCTCACGTACCTAATCACGACGATGTTATTCAAATCCAGACAAGTATTAGAATGTTGTAGTGAGCATTTATCTCATTTAAAAATTTTGGCAGAAAGCAGAGAATGTTGCCGGTGATCGTAAAGCATATTGCAGTTCCTGCCCATTTTTGAGAACACTAATCTTCGCTCGTATCTATGGTTTCCATTGACTTCTAGCAATCAAAACGCCACACAGAAGTGCAGAAGCAATCACGAATTCGATGTCAACCATATTCTTCGGTTCTTGCAACAGAAATAGGTACTGTACAACAGCTGATCGCGGAGGATTTACGACCGAGTACAGGTCGTCGCCAAGCTGCAAAGAAATCTGTCGAAGACAGTCGACGAAATAAATGTACACGAAGCACACTCGGTATGCCAAATAATTATTGCATGGACCATATATTTATGCGTCCTGTAGCACAAGCAATACGTAAATGCTCAAGAACAATATCGAACAACAATTTCCATATAAATTCATCCAACAAGAGCAGACTAAGCACCAAAATCACGTCAACTGAGCTAGCCTGGACGACTAGCCCCAATGTGATCTCACTCGTCAAGCATTGATCTAAAACAGAGAGCATTGTGATCACACAAGTGCCGCGTGCTAGTAAGAACGAAGACTCAAAGTCAAGGATTATATTTACAACCAGTCACAATACAATTAGATGAGAGGGAAGGGGCACTCCTATTGGTCATCCGTTGCCTCGTCTTGGGTAACCAATCCCTGCACAATTCGTAGCCGACCTGAAAGTAGACAAGCATAGTTTGAACGTTAGAAAACCGCCGAACTTAGCATGCCTTGCACTACTCCCTCTCCCATAGTAGCACTACCCGCAGTGCTAGGACTTAGCTGTACTATGGCCTGCTACCGAAAAGGTTTTAGTCTGTTGAAGTGTGTGACTAGACTATGAGAGGAATTGGGTTCCCGAATCCTACGGGTGCAGTCGCTAAGTACAGTAAATGGTCCTTCCCAGCGTTTATGGAATTTAAGAGCCTTCTCTTCAGGTGACGCTTCCTTGAGTAGCATCACCTTGTCTCCTGGCTCCACAGGTGATCCATGTGCTTTCCTATCATGGTATTCTTTCTGGTACCTCTGGTTTGTTTGGAGTATATCCCTAGTCATCTGGTGTGCCTTGTTCAGGTTTCGTCTAAGTCTGATTGCCTGTTCGGATGCAATCTGTGTGTCCTCTCCTAGTGTGTTTGAAGTCAGATCGATTGGCAACCGGAGTTCTCTTCCAGTGACCAAATAATGAGGCGTTTGACGCGTAACTTTGTGAATGGTCGCTCAGTACGCCATCAAGCACTGCGAGAGTGATCGGTCCCATTCCCTGAGGTTATTTTGGTCTACAAATGCCTGCAAGAGAGATTTAAGTGTCCGATTCATGCGTTCAACCAAACCATTTTCCTGTGGGTGGTATGCGGTAGTGCGTGTCTTCCGGATACCCATTATGCGAGCTGTGTTATAGTTTAGCTCTTTGTTCTTCGTCAAACTACTGTATGTAGCGGCGACATTGTTCTTCCTACAAATTGAACGATTCCCCCGGAACAAACTTTCCCGGTGCAGGGAATTTAACTTTTGGTTTGGTACTGGAGGGCGTACAAGTTTAGCAGTCACTAACGCTATTCGGAATGCTGCGACCATTGTTTGAATCATATCTGGAGCAGGCGTGGAAGTCGATGTTGTTGGTGGGGTTGATGACATCTCCGGTGGCGCTCTGGTACTATCTTCCTGATGACGGGTGTTAGCAGTATTAGGAGATTCCAAGTTCTTGACTTCTCGCTTTGGTTTACACGAGTTTCGCAGGCTCGCCATGTTCTATAGTAATAGAATAGTAACACAAACAATAATAAATATCAAGCACGCTGGGTAAGGCGAGGAGAGCAGAACACGACTCGAGGTGAAACACTGTATGATTATCAACCGAATTAGTAGCAGCAGAAGTCAAATATATATAAACTTACAAAAAGCTGGGCGATAACAGTTCAGCAACCACCGAACTGACGCCTCCTGTCGTTTACGAACCACTGCAGACCCTTACACCCATTCGAATCAACTCCACCGCGCAAATGCCTTCAAGGTAGGTATCCAATATCCAATATCGTTTTTCCGAGCTAGTATAAACCAATTTGCTTTCTTTGTGCTCGCCTCTTGATTGTGAGGTATATGTGCCTGATCTTCGATAAACTTCTGCGTAGCTCGTCCCGCCACTCGACTGTCGTAGTTTTGGTTGACTCTAAAAGGAGTAGTGCTGGGACTAATTATATGTGGTTTGGTGTATGAGGTGTGTTGAGACTGTTTGCTACTACTGTGAATGGAGTTGATCCTATCACCAATTAATCCTTCGGTATCGTCGTCAAAAGAAAGGAGATCATGATAATAATAATTATAATAGATATAATTAGCGAAGTTATTCAGACTGACCGACAAAAAGAAATATGAAAACGTAACAACAGTCAGCTGATGAAATTTGAAGAATATTTTGAAAAATATATATATCGGTGATAGTGATAATAATAATTTTAGTTAAAGTTTTCATGGGAGCAAGACGGGATAGAATGTAAAGAAGTAAAACGACAAGTTTAATTGTCTACCCCTAAATGGTGTATGCAATTTTAACAGGATAGGCCATTTGGATGCAGTTCTCGTGTCGCTGCATGATTGTTCAGTTTTCTGTTAAAGGCGTCCACAGACGGTGGCATGGCTGCATCTACCGGTAAGGAATTCTACGGACGTCAAACCCGCAGTGAGATGAAGTGGGAGCGCACCCGTTTCCTTGCCCTCTGGTGAGCTATGCTTCTGGGATTTTCACAAGGGAGACTATACTTACTCAATGGCAAATCACCTTTGTTTGGGTGATTCTGGCCATTTGTTATTTTGCAGGCAGTGAATAATTCCCTCCTAAGCCAACGGTAGCTAAGTGTGAATAGGTCTAATTTCTTAGGCGTTTTATCATATGGTTTGTTTTGGAGACCGACCACTCCCTTTGTTGCCCGTCTTCTGACTCTTTCCAAAAGGTTCGCATGTCTTCTTGGCAGTGGGGCTCAGAGATATTATGCACCTCAATGTGTGTTCTGACGTATGTTTTGTACAACCTTAGAAAGAGCTCAGGAGTGAGTGCACCTATCTGTCTATGCGTAAAATGTATGACCGCATATGCCCTCGCTACATCCCCTGTGTAATTTATGCTTGGGTCCATTTTCTCCTTTAGAACTAGACCTAAGACGCGTTCCGACGTTGTGCAGGACAAGCTTTCATTGCACAGGGCGTAACTTGCATTCTGCAGTCTACAGGTGCGTAACTTCACTACTTTGCACTTTTCCAGGATGAAAGTCATGCCACTGGCCACTGCCCAGTCTTCCAGAAGCTTGAGATCTGCCTGCAGCCTATCTGAGTTCTACAGACACTTTATCGCCCTCCATATCTTTACATCATCAGCGTAAGGAGGGGTCGGGCAGCATAGATGGAATGGCAGATCATTGATAGAAGTCGAAAACATCAGTGGTCCTAGGATAGAACCCTGCGACACTCCAGAAGACGAGCTGTAACAAGATGATCGGACTCGGTTGATATTGGTGCGAAATGGCCTTTCAGCTAGGTAGTCGTTTAACTATGGCAGAAGTGGCTCACCTACACCTGCCTGGCTTATTTTGTGTAGGAGAAGGTCATGGTGAACAGTGTCAAATGCCTTCTCAAAGTCCAGGAAGACCACATGGACTGGAACATTCATATCCCAGCATGATGTCCAATTGTCCCAAGCTGATAGTAAGCTAGTAACGCAGGATCCGCACTTTCTGAAACCGTGTTGGGCTTCATGGAGTATATTAGAACTATCAAGGTACTCCCCCATGTAATCGTTAATAATACTTTTCAACACCTTTGATACCAATGGGAGTAGAGTTACTGGTCTGTAACTAGTGGGCTACCGATATCCATGCTGAAAATTCCATACTTGCACCAAAAATACAGTGTGGAATGAAGCGCCCATGAAGATCGGAGAAAGGATGACTCTTTTCCACTCCCTTGGCAGTTTCCTCGAATCAAATGAGTTTTGGAACAAGTCGCATAAGTGCCTACACAGAGCTTCGGCGCACTGTTTCAGAACAGATGGCCTGATGTCGTCACAACCTGGGGACTTCTCAGGTATGAGTCGCTGTAGCTTCCTTAGTACTATTGCAGGGTTTATTTGGGGAGTAGCCACTAGGTCTTCCTCCCGCCATTTCGGTCCTTACCGGTAATACTCACATTGCTGTTTAGCTGTTTGGAAAAGGCTAAACTGAATGTTTCTGCCATCCCAGACTAGTGAGATATTGACCATCTGGGCCTACTAAGGCACATGCCCACTGGTTGTTTGGTTTGTTGTCCGACGTGGATCAGTGCAGGCTTTTGGTGTTCGTCAAGAGTTTTTTTAACAAGGTTTGCCTGGAATGACTTCCTGTCACTCCTGACTCCGGTTCCTGAGTTTCAGCCATGCGTCGTGGTCGATTTGACTTTTAGATATGCGCCAGGTGGACTAAGCCTTCCAATCGTCCAATCCTTGTTACACAGGATCTGCCTCTCTCGAAACTATGTTGTGCTTCGTGGAGTGTACCAGTCGTGTCCAGGTGCTCCCTGATGTGATCATTAATTATAATTTTCAACACTTTTGATACCAATGGGAGTAGCTCTACTGGTCTATAACTGGTGGCACTTCGCCTGTCCCCATTGTCAAGAATTGGAGAAAGGTTGGCTCTTCTCCACTCCCTCAGCCGTTTCTCTAAATCTGTCGAGTATTGAAGTGTTGGGGGTGTGGATACCTTATGTGAAGTACTTCTACTCGTGTGTCAGAAATTCATTCATCTCAACCATTTCTCGTTCCTGTTATCATACCAAGTTTTGTTTGGTTAAGATGGTTGTGTTTTGCACGAAATTGACTGGAAATATCACTGGTAAGTGTGTCACATTATTCACTGTGATTTTCTTTGATGCCAGAGCATCTACGGAGATAGTACTCCGGTATTTATAAGTTGGATCAGGCAAGTCAGTTTCATAAGGCATAGCATGGATGTAGATAACTTTATGCGAACTACCGGTGCTTTGAATTTCGCAGTCGATCGATGCTGCTCCCATGAAAAAATGGAGTACGACTCATTGTATCGTGCAAAATCAAAATCTCTGGCAAATGGCGAACAACTAATCGGCAAATGATTCATGTCAGAGCTATGAATGTTCCTGGCCCTAAATCTCACCCAACCAACGCCCTCCTAAATCTTAATTATCCGGAGAGGAACCGGACAACGAAGGAAATTTAGGTATAATGCCAGCAACTGGATGCGTACAAAGCCCACCGCTAATGAAACTTCACAATTTAGGTTTGAAACTCAGCACTCAACTTGGAATGAGAAGGAAAGTAGGAGGAGATCGCAGTTTTTAAATCTATTGCCCTTCAAATCATTAGTTGTACTCTTAATACTCCTACCAAGCTGGTTCACTCCGTTGGGCGACTGATTCCAATGTTACACTGTTTCCAAACGCCATCCTATCTTAGGAATTGTTTCAATTGTAAATTCAAATATAATGCCATACTGTTCAATCGCATAGCACAACACTTCGACTGGGAAGAATTTCAGGAACAATTATGAAGTGAAGCAAGAGCACCGTTGGCAATAAAACGATCATTCAGAGTAATCCTCGTCGATTTAGTGAAAAGCAGTATATTCATGAAAAGATGTTTAAAGAAGCGTAAGAACATTAGAAAGTAGCTTTCTCCTAACTGATGTAGAAAATTTCTCAGAGCACATTGAGGAAAATCGAGCGGTGTATACATTGTGAAATACAATTCGTCAGTAGAATTACCAGTCATGGCGTTGCTTTACATGACTGCTTGTTCAATGCTAATCACACAGTATCCAGTGGAAGCTTTAGTGTCTAAATTCTCAGGGTGGCCATGTGAAGAATCATCTAGTTAGATTATGCTTATTGACTGTTTTATGGACGATTGCTGACAACCTTGGAACTAATTGACTAACTCGGTTAGGGCTCCTGAAGATGCTCTTAAACTGCATAAGACATGAAGTGCATATTTCCCTAACTTTAAGTTTCTAAATCCAAACTAGAGGAGAAATTAACTGGAGTTTACTAGTGGCTACAAGATAAATCACATTGCTACTCTAAGTGGAGGCTATTGGAGGGACAGAACATTGAACACCATCTGCATATTTTCTTTGAGAAATATCAAACTTTGAAGATGAGGCATTTACGCTCAATTAATTCACATATTTGTGATCTAGTAAGTAACCGGAGTCATAACAAACAGGCGATGGGGCTTTATTTTGTTCTGTTTAGCGCATCTATACCATGTTTTCCTACCGTGTTAATTTCATTCCACTTAAAATGTCTATATCTTTGGATGATCTCAAATCTATCTTGCAACAGCAGCAGGTTCAAAATGAAGCAGATCAACTTAAATCAATCGAAGCTATCACTCACTAAGAAGCTGTCCATTCAAATTCCCTCAACATCTCATTCAGAAAAAGCATCTTGAATTCTGTCAGTGAGTTCAACCACAATCCAATATCTGGCGTCGTATCTGATGCATGGTTTGACCAGTATGAAGACGTTTTCCGTTTTGAATGTGCCATGTTTGATGGTGCTGACAAGGTTCGATTGTTATTGTGAAGACATACAGCTGTCGAAAACAATAAATAAGTCAAATTTATTGTGCCGAAGAACTCACTTGAATTATTTTTCGATGAGATAATCACGGTTTATCCCATATTTTTGGTTAACAGCCATCCATGTTTAATTTTCGGTATCAATGCTTTCAGTTCCCGAAATGCCTTCCGATGATTATGCCACTTATTCTGACAAACTGAATGAAGAATATGAACGATTTAGACCACACGAAATGTCGTAAGATCAGTTCAGGTGTTTGATTTTTATTTGTGATTTGAACAGCCCGGAAGATGTTGACATTAGAACTCAACTTCTGTCACTCGTGGGACAAGACCCGAAAATGACTTTCAAAACGATGACAGCAGAATTCTAACGTCTAACGAACTTGAAACACGACACTGCTATGGTGGAGCGC